CTCTGATTGGAAGTTGGGTGTTTTTATCTTTTTTGAGGCAGGGTGAGATGAGAAGAGCCAGAGCTTTGCTCATGTTAGAGGTGAGGGAGGAAAAAGCACAAGGAGCCTCTGCCCCAGGGGAGTGCCCAGACTGCTCCCAGCCAGGCAGTGGGATGATGAGATGATGATGAGATGATGAGATGATGAGGAGATGAGATGAGATGAGATTATGAGGCAGCTCTGCAGGTTGGGGTGTACCAAGTCCAGTTCCCAGGCCTTTCCCTGGGGTCTCCAGTAATATAGAAGGGCTCTGCTATGTGTCTGTGGGAGTGAGTTTGCTGATGACTCCCTTCACTAGACCTTGAGGTCAGCCCCTACTGATTAAAAAAGTTAATTACCTTCCTCTTGCAGGAATGACTCTATTTTCAAGGTCTTCCAGGCCATTAATCAAGCATCTTCTTTTGAAAGCAGTTTTAATTAAAAGTAAGTCATCTTTAGGGCCAGGTGGCCAAGTCAGAGGGGGATGCCTTCAGATACCTCACTGGGCTCTGTGTGGTGAAGGGAGTGCTTCAGGTTTATACCCCCAGCCTTCCCCCCACTCCTGGTGGGTTGTGAGTATTCTTTTTAGTGTCAATCTGAATATTTAAACGCAGTTTAAAATCTATAATTTATAGGCAAATCTCAGAAGAGTTCAGTCACCTCTTGGTGCTGAGGGTGTCTCTGAAGCAGCCCCCACTGCTGTGCTTTGGGGTCAGACTCAGAGGGTCGAGTGAAAGACTTAAAATGTCAAAGTTTGTGATCAAAATTAGATATTTTGTCTTCGACTTGGTATATTTTCAAGTTTGTTTAATGTTTTCATTACCACATCTCTCAAGTGCCCCTGGTCGTGTCCAGGAGGTGGCAGTGGAAGAGCATCCATCACTCCACAAGCACAGGGAGCTCACAGCTCACCAAAGGCAGAATCAGGGACAGCTGTACCCCACAGCACAGCAAACAGCTGCAGTCTGGGGGGTTTTAAGAGGTACCCCCATCTGGGATGCCCCAAGTGCCAGAATCTGTGGCTCCATAGTTAATAGCCTGGAAATGTGTAAGGAAATTTGTTCACTTGAAAGCCAGGAGGAGAAAAGCTGTGTGTAATTGCAAAGAACTGGATTTCAAAGCAGTTTTAATCATTTTAATTACTCAAATGAGTAAAACATCTGCATGTCAAGTCCACTGCAACTGACTAAAAAGCATACAGGATTCTCAGAGTGAAGCAAACTAAACAGAATAGTGCCAACATCATGCTTTAAGTTCATATTTGTTGATGAGCCTCTAGTCCCCTTTTTAACTGCCCTCATGCTGGGATAACTGCCTCCCTAGAAATGCACAAGGAGGTATTGGAGAACTGAAAAGTTTCACACTGCCTGAGCCTGATGCATCTCATCCCAAAATACTGCAGAAAAATATGACAGGATTAATGTCAGAACCACTTGGGGTTATTTTAGGGAAGTCGTGGGGTGTAAATAAGCATCTGAAGACTAGAAAGGAGCAAATATATTCTGTTTCTAAGAATGGAAGGAAAAGACTAATTGAGGATTTGTCTATCAGCTTACCTTCAACTGCCAAAAAAACCTTGGAAAGCACAAAATCTCTGTGAGCAATGAAAGAAAACAAGGCAATGAGTCAAAATGGATTTTTCAACTGCAAATCCTCTCAGAACAAACACAGTTCTCATTATGAATGGGCCTTGGACTGGACAGAGGGGAAACAATAAAAACCATTTAAAGTCACAGAATGAGCTTTGCTACCTTCTCATTCACAAGGGAGAAAGGTAATTAGTATAGATTGGACTCCTTGCTCAGGCAGATCCCAGGTTTGCAAACAGGAGACACAGGACATGGCCTGAAGCTTGTGTAGTCCTCACCTGCCTGTTCAGATGGCCAGGGCAAGAGGAAATAGGTGAGGTGATATCAATAGGAGCAAGAGACCCACTTGGAGCCAAAAAAGGGGACAATAAATCCATGGGAATGAAATCTGAAACATTTTTAGAAACAACACAACAACTATAGACAGCATTTTAGGACTCTGAGAGAAATGGGAGGTCTAGAATAAGGGTAATATCAAATTCTTCATACACCCACAAATATTTTTAATCAAATTTCATTAATTCTTTTCTGTATTAATTTTCCATGGAGATTAGGAAATACTTTTTTACTAATAAAGCAGCCTTTTTTAATAGGCTGCTTTATTAGTATCAGATACTTATTTTATTTTAATCACTGTCTTGCATATGTGGGCTCTGCCTGACTTCATGTAATTGCACCTCCTGATGACACAGCCTTGGGAAACTTGTTGTTTAATCAGCTGAACCCTCTCTAAAGCACTCCCACCCACCCCAGCCTGCAGCAGCACTGTCATTTTTTAGCAGGGGGGGTCCTGTGTGTGTTTAAAGGCTCTGCCTGCTGGGCTGGGGGCAACTGATGGTGATGGAAGGGCACTGTGTTCACCAGAGGCTGAGTTCTGCTGGGAAATGGGATGTAAGGGTTGCTGGAGGTAGGGAAAACAGGTTTTGTTTCTCTAATGAGGAGAGAATTGGTGAGAAAACAGCTGACTAGCAGGTTCCAGGGAAGAAGGAATAATTTACAATACTTTGGTGAATAAAGACCCAGCCACTTTATGAAATGTTTTAATGCTGAATGCTGAAGGGAAACTGATATTAATTTCTTGTGAGGAGGTGATGCTTGATAAACCTACTAGCTCCAGTTAAGAATTTAGTTTTAGCTGTATGTTAGGATGATAATTGCATGTATTTGTGCTTAGCCCCATGGTTTGTGCCACATGGACTCCAATCTCCCAGAGCTGTTAGCAGGAGATATCTCAGATCTGGGATGCTTCCTAGAAACTGTACAAAATGTGTGGAGGGAGGAACTGCTGCATCCTGAGGGCCTCTGATCTAGAGGGGGAACAAAACAAAGTTTTTCTAATTCCCAAAAGGGAACTTGGGAATATTGTATAACAGAAAACAGGTTGGAACTTCCCTTGTATTCTATTGTCCTTCTGCTAATGTAGTTTAGAGTAATCTGTAGGGTTTGTCATTTCTGCAACTATTTTTAAATAGGTAAATTGTGAAACTCAGTGAAATTGTAAAACTCCACATTACCTTTTATCGACCTAATTGAGTCTCAATATTTGAATGTAAATAGCTTCAGATTTAGAAAGCTGTACTGACACTCTTCATTTAGTTTTCATTCACAACTGTTAAAAATTTTAACACCATTCTTGTGTCAATCCAGCCTTCTCCAAATCCACCTTCCATCCCTGTTTTTAAATACTTCATGTGAGAGCTGGAAGAGAAAGTGCTTGCCTAATTATGCCTATTTTCAACACTGTAAATTAAGCTGTTCATGTGAACAGTTTCTTCATTTAGCAATAAGCAAAGAATGTTAAGGACTGTGAAATAATGCAAATTTTGTCAGACACTGTACACAAGGTTTTTGGGGGGGTAAGAAATGTTTGGAACAGTACTTTCCACAATGCCTTAAAAGCAAATTTTTTGTCACTACAGCAAAACACAGGTCTTCAAAATCTTCCTTTCACTTTGTCTGTGTTGTTGTCGGAACTTTGACAGGGGATGATTTGCATTTCCTCTGTCCTCAGTCTGTGACAGTTTTCCAAGAGGAGGTAGTTTCAAAGCAATCTAGAATTAGCTGTGACAAGTGACAATTGCATGGGTGGCACAAAAGGCTTTTACAAATAGACATTATTTTATGCAACAGACATTAATACATGTTTTAATGAAGGAGTGATTCACAATGATAATAGTATTGACTTGTTAAGATTTAACAGGTCTGCCATATGCTGTCGAGTGCTTCAGATGGTTTCAGATTTATTTATTTTTTTTTAATCTATGCATATTAACAACAGATGTTGAATTTTAAAATGATCCAATAATCAAGGGGAAATCGTTCCAAAGCTGAGTGTTAATTTTGTCATGTAACTATTTGAAATTCTTTGCATGTCTTATATATTGGTTATTTAGCTCATAGCTAGCTCTTGCACATGATATTTTTTGTCATCTTGCTTCCTCCAGAGTTTCCTCCAGTTGCTGAGGAGTGGGTTGGCCGAACACTTGCCTTGGAACTCCATCCCTAATCTTTCAGTTCTTTTTATTAAAAAACCCCTTTCACAAGTGCATCTGCCCTCAACTCCTGTGCCTCTGGACTGCACAGAAATGGGATGTTCCTGCTTTTGCCTGGCTTGCCCCTGTTGCACTGAGGGGGTGAGGGGAGGGAAGAAGGATACCACAAAGCAAATACACTGAGCTGACATGCCACAGGTGAGGGACCCCGCTCTCAGAAGGATTGAGTGGCTCCTCCATTGGTACAGGAACAGCCTTTGGGTGATTACAGATTCACCCTTTGGCTGGTTATTGATAGCTTGAAGATCAGAAATTTGGTTTTTTGCTTTCTTCCTTGCCCTGCCTCCAGGAGCTCAAGTTGAGGTTGGTTCACAGCACAACCTGTTGCTTCTCCTTCCCACTCCTGAGCACAGCAGGTCACAAACTCAGCTGTGGGTGGTGGCAGCCTGGGACAGTGCACCGTGGCTCCCATGTCATTTGCTCTCTCGTTTTCACCTGTCTCGTGGGTGTGATGGAGTAAATAAACACATCTCCAGTGGCTGGGAAGCTCTAGAAAGAGAGACAACACCTCGAGCTGATCATCCTCCCCAGAGCAGAGCTGCCCTGGGCTGAGCAGCCACCTTTGTGCTGATGCTGCTGGGGAGAAGCTGAGCTGCACTGAGTGATGCCCAGCCCACCACCAGCGCCAGCTTCTCACAAAGCACAGCATTAAAAGCCCTCCTGCTGCTGGGAGCCACCAGCTGCCTTTCCAGCATGTTTTCTGGAGGTCCAGAGCTGTGCTCAGCAGGAAAGGCAGAGCCCATCTCCATGCTGAAAGCTGCAGGCTTCTCTTTGCAGTCCTCCTGCTGCTGCTTGGCTCCTGTGCCTCATGGAAATGTAGGAATTGTAGGAAATGCAGGTGTAGAGATTTTTGGCATCATCTCCTTCTGGATGTTCCCTGCAGAAATTTAAAAAAAAAAAAACAAAACCAAAACAACAACCAAAACCCAAGCAAACAAACAAAACCGACAAAAACAAACAAACAAAAAACACAGGGAAATTACAATGTGATAATTAACATAAACAAGATGCAAAGGATGGAGAGCCCAGTCAGTTTCAAATAGGTAGCAGAGATCTCAAATTGATTTCCAATGGGCTGAAGACACGAACTGGGGAGTTCTTGAGTGTATGCTTTATCATTTGTATAGATTACTAACTCCATTGACTTAATTTGACAAAGCAAGCTGTAGAAAGGGAAAGTCAATCCTGTCTACTTCTTGGTGAAGAAAGTACATTTATAGATCCTAAAGGGACATAACTCCCGATGAGATACATTTGAGCTTCATGCCCTTTACCTCTCACTTTTTGCCCTCTAGGGAGGCAGCCTGACTATCAAGTAGTTATTCCTGGATCATTTAGGTTGGAAAACACCTCTAAGATCATCAAGTCCAACTGTTAACCCAGCACTGTCAAACCCCCCCACTAAACCATGTCCCCAGGTGCCACATCTTTTAAATCCCTCCAAGGATGGTGAGTCCCCCATTCCCCTGGACAGCCTGTTCCAATGCCTGACCAGCCATTTGGAGAAGAAAATTTTCCTAATATCCAATCCCTGTGTAATCCTGTGTGGGTTCCTAAAAGAGAGAGCACTCAGATGTCTTTTTCTTCCCCAGGGAGCAAGAAAATAATAAAACAATAAGAAAATTCCAATATTCCTGATTTCAGGTGGCAACAGCCTTGAGGGTCCTGCTTCCACTGAGTAGCTGATCAATGGCTTCAAAAGTCTGGGGGAGAGTTAGGGGAGCAGGGAGCAGAGAAAAAAATAATAGAAAATTTTATTGAAATCAATCTGGAGAAGCCTGTCCCATCTGGTTGTCACTACACATTAATAGACTTCAAACCTTCTCTTGAGACAGGGATTGTGAAAATTATTTCCAAAGGAAAAGTCCCATGGATACCTCAGATGCATCTGCAGCTCCTCTCTGGGACTTTCAGTGAAGCATCTTGTTGCTGTGGAGGGAAATCAGGTGCAAAGGATCAGAGTTAGTGATGGTTGTGACCCAAAATGAGGTCACTGGGCATGGGGAGAGTATTTACTTGAGGTAAACACAAAAGCCAGAGCTGTAAGTATCAGGCCAGGCCAGCTGGAAATCCACACAGCAAATGGCTCAGTTCAGTGTGTGGCTTGCAGAAAGAGAGAAGAGGATCCTCTTCATTTTCAGAAGCCCTTTTCCCTTTAGAAAGCTCTCCCTCTCTGTATGCCTTCCATGAGGCAGAAATGTTTGCTTTGATCCTTGAGCAGCCTTTCTCCAGGGCAAGGAGGAGTAATGTGATTTTTTTTTCCTGAGAAAAGAAAAAGTTTGTGAGCAGTGAGAGGGGAGGGCTGAAGATAAAAGTTTGTACTACATTTCTTCATGCAGAAATGGCCAAGATGGCAGTGGCTTTACCAACAGAATGTTGTTTTTGTCTTTACCTTCTTCTCTTCTGGTGGGGAGATTGATTGATGCATTGTACAGTTCTCTTTCACATTTTTTTATCCCCAGATGCAGGGGTACCATTTTCAGCTTCTGTCACCTTAAACAACTAACTACAACTCACCATTGACACCTCAACAAGGAAAATTTGCTGAATTAAAACTGTACAGAGTCTGTTCTGGTACAACTATACCTGTTGTCCAGCAGGTTGGAAAACCCCCAGCTCTCCCCAGTGCATCTGTCAGCTGTGAAAGGCTCACCCTGCTCCTGTGAGGGATGCCCTTATGGCAGGAGCTGCTTTTGCCCCCCAGATAAACTGACATTCCCCAGACCTGGTGCAAATACAACTCTGAGTTTTCTTCAGCCAAGACCGAGGAACATTTATTTAAAGCAATGCATCCCTGAAGTGAGGGAAAGACCAACTCTATCTGATCCTAACTGAGGTTTTATCATTTTCCTTTGGTTGTCTGAACTCAGAGTTAGTGAGCTTTGGTCACTTTCTAATCTAATTCCTGATCAAACACTGCCTTATTTTTCTATGTGTTTTATGAGTGCATTGAGTTTTAATGCCAGCCCCACTCTAGGCCACAGGGAGTAGTTAATGTTTGATCAAGCACCAGAGTAGTTAATAGGTTTATCAAGTTTTGAACCAAGCTACTCTACAAAATAAAAGCGTGCCATGATTTCTTAAACTGCAATTAAAAAATATTCCACCAAAAATGCCTCAGTGATGAGCCCTGGTCCTTCCAAGAACTGCAGAAGTTCCCTGGAGAGGGGTGGAGATTAGCAAGAGCGTTTCACATGACAGCTTTCAATATATTTATTTGAATAACTGGATTACAGAAGTGCATCAACATGCCTCTAAATCTTATTACTGTTTATTACTCTGGATATCAGACAAAACAATAATTAAATTGGGCAGAGATTCTTGGGGCTCAGTTAACAGAATTGGGGCTCAGTGAACGTGGCTGTGCTTCATTCTCTGCCCTATGGAACCCCCAGACCTCTAGCTCAGGACTGGACCTCCTTTGTGCAGGGAAAGCCTGGAAAAATGGCATTACAGGACCACTGAGGTGGACCAAGGAGGCTGTGGAGGACAGAGAAGGAGCTTCAGGAGCCCACAGCTGGGGAATGCAGATAATTCCAGGGTGCATCTGAAAACCTGCTTGTGAGGAAGGCCTGAAATGGGGGCAGGCTCTGAGCTTTCTGCTGCAAATTCACATCCTGACAGAATCAGGGCATGTACAGGTTAAACCAGCACTTAGATGAGGGTGCCAGCTGTGCTGGGCATCTCCAGGAGCTGCCAGACTTTGGCACTGCTCTAAGAGCAGCTCCAGAGGCAGTCTGAAGAGAGATTGCATTTGTCACTGTGGGAACAATCTGTGCACTGAGCAACCCTTCATTTCTGTCTCAAGGAAAAGCAAATAGAGAGAGAAATCCTTGTTTGCTTCATGCAGCTCTTGGCAGTCACCATCCCCAGTCATTATCGTTCAAGAGAACACAAATAAGTCAAACTGCAGTGATGGCAAATGAGGGGAGAATATGATGTGTAAGGAGGAAAAAATCCCAGGACTGCTGTGGTTTAGAATTCTGGGAAGACTCCACTGGGCTTTGGATCCCTCTGGGTGACAGCACTGTCTGTATTTAGCGCAGGAGGTTGTAGACAGTTTCAGTTTGTACAGGTCAATCTTAATTGACTTCTACAAACTGAAAAAATAGCAGTTTGAATTTACTTAATTGCACAGAAGAAAAATCTCTAAAAATCAGGATTTTTTGTTATTTGAAGCTGCTTTTTGCTTTGTTGTTTCAGTGCTCCCTTGGTGTCCTGCTCTCTGTACTCTTTAAAACAGTCCTGAAAATAAGATTGAAAAGCTTTTAAAATTAGGTTGGTTTGTTCGGAAGTGGGCTTTTTAACTCTTCAAAGTGGCCAGTTATTCCAATAACTTGCTATTTTGAGCTTCAAGGAAAAACCATTTCCTGAAATTCAGCAAAAGCAAAACACTCTTTAGAAGGTCACTCAAATCTTTAAATAGAGGTAGGAAAGGCAGACACACATAATCACAGAGTGAATGCAAGTAATACCCAATTTAAATGGACCTTCTTCATTCAGTGCCTCTGTAATCAGCTTTTAATGTCCTCATTAGCAGCACTAAAACAACTTGAAATTGTAGCAAGTTTGTGAAATGGGATTTCAAACGTTTTCCCAACACTTTTCACAGGATGTGCATTCAGATCTGGGGCGTTTTTTATCAGATTAATTTTACTGAAACACGACGAGCAAAATGATTTTCACAGATTCACAGTAGGATTAGATTTACAAACTAAAGCAGCCATCCTCTCTCTCCCCGTCCCCTCCTGTCCATTTGCATTGTCCCCAGCAGAGAAGTCTCTGTGCAGGTGTGGTCAGAGAGATGCCCTTGCTGACCATGGCCAGAGCTGCCCCTGGATTGTGCTGCTTTTTTGGCTGATGGCAGTTCAGTGCCAGAAACTTTCTCATGCTATCCCAGATTGCAGCTGAGCAGGCTGGAAGAAACCTCTCAGAAATTTGTCCTCTGCACTTAACAGTTATACCAGATATTTTCAGGGAGGAAGAAACTAGAAACCATTAGGCTGATTATAGCTTCTAACTCCCTTTGAAAGGTGAATGTCAAAGGAAATGGTTTCTTCCCAAAAGACTCCTCCAAAGGAGAGCGCCTGTCCATCTTCTGTGTTTGGCAGCTCTTTCTTTGACTGGCCATGCAATGCTCATGCTTGGCTCAATATCCACAGCCCCTTCTGTCTCTTGGGGCACCTCCAGAAGGGCAGTGCCAAAGCCTCTGGCTCTCTCTGGAGATCAAAGCTGAGGGCAGCATTGACACATGTCAAAATCAGCTCCTCAGGGAATGATGGAATTCATCTTGGTGCTGTCAAGGCTGTGAGGACAACACAGCTGACTTGCAGTAGGGTCAGCAAATTGGGGCTGCATGAGGAAAAATTTTGGCCCTATCCCAAAAAGGGCTACAGGAACGCTGTGAGTTCTCCACCCTAGAGCCTGTGCTAAGGAATGGACTCTGGGTAGACACACAGATTTAATTTTTACCCAATCCAAAACACTCCCTCTTTGAGATATTTAGGTTTCCTATTCATCCTTGCTTCTCTTTGTCCCCCAAACCCATGTTTGTACTGACAGTAATATCTAACACAGATAGAAAGGATCCCTGTATTTTATTGTGCTTACATCACCTTGGCTTCTAACTCCAATCAAAACAATAAAGATATTATTGAGGCATGACATCTGCCTGTCATTCTCCATTAGAAGTGGAGGTGCACATGGGACTTGTGTTGTTATAATTGAGCCCTAAGGGCAAATGTCAGGAATGAGGACTAATTAAAAGCGGAAAAGACTTACAATGTTCATGTACAAAGGAGGTGCACTCCCACCAGCTCTCATTTACAGCACCACACTGGCCATAATGCAGTTTGTAGCGGGTCCAATTTTCTTCTTCCTCCAGGCAAACATTTTTTTCAGCTCTCCCCTGAAGCTGTCATGGAGCCAGGCATAGAGGAAGGCATTGGTACAAGCAGACATCATTGCAAACCAGTGGCACAGCAGCTGGATGAAGTTGAAGTACTGCTTGTCAATCAAGCTGATGTCAATGTCCTTTATCATGTTGAAGATGTGCAGGGGCAGCCAACAGACTCCGAAGGCCGCCACCACTAAGACCAGCAAGCGAAAAGTCTTTCTCCTCCTGGCTCTGTCCCACTCAGCTTGGCCCTGGGTGACATTGCCTGGGACTACACGGTTCTTCAGCTTGACTGAGATCCTCAGGTAGGACAGGGAGATGACAGCCAGTGGCAATACATAGGTGATGATGAGGGTGCTGTAGGCGTAAGCCAAGCGATCTCTTTTCATGTGGAACCAAAACTCCTCGCAGATGGAGAAGTCCAGCTCCGGGAACTCTGCGTGGTAGGTGTGCACCAAGGCTGGGGCAGCCAAAGTGCAGCTCAGCAGCCAAATAGCAGCCAGGATGTAAGCACAGATGGGGATGGTGAGCCTCCTGCGGAAGGGGTACACCGTGGCACAGTACCTGTCCACAGCTATGACAGTCAGGGTGAACACAGACACAAACACCGTGACAGGTTGCATCAGGAAAACAAAGTAGCACATGAAACGCCCGTAAACCCATCCCCGGGGCTCAAAGGCATAGGCCAGGGTCAGGGGCACACAGGTGGCACACATAAGCATGTCTGAGAAAGCCAGATTGCCTACCAGAAAGTTGGTGACATTGTGCATTTTTTTTGTCTTGCAGATGACATAGATGAGAAGGTAATTCCCGATGACACCAATAAAAACCACCAGCGAGTAGCAGGGGATGATGAGTGGCTTGAAGGACTGAACAAACTGGAGCCCTGAGAATAAATTGCTGGTGTTGCTGTGAATCGCAGAGAGGAAGCTTTGGGAGGTTAAATTGTCCGAATTCATCATTTTCCTCCTTTTGTTGTCCGCCGTCAGCTGAGTGGAGTAGTTAGCACTGTGCTGCTCCTGCACTCAATCAGGGGGGATAACGGATGGATCACTGCCTGTCCAGAGGTTGCCACATGGGTAGTAAACAAGCAGCTGGAAAAGCAAAAGGTGAACTTGTAACCCTTGAGAGGCAGCTTTCAGCAAATCCTAAGAAAAATCAAATAAAACCAATTTCCATTAAAGTCCTCCTGTATTTACTATTAAATCTAGCTTTTGACAGCATGCCACTTAAAAAACATTTAATACAGTGAGTACTTACTGCTGGGGGTTTTTAATCCCATATGATTTTCCTGTGGATGCCAAGAAGTGCCCTAGATGTCTGTCTTCTGCAAATCCAGGAGCGTGTGTCTGTGTGTGTGTGTGTGTCAGAGAGGGAGAGAGAGAGAGAGAATATATGAGTGAGAAAGAGGGCGATGTGCATTTACAAGCTAAGTGGAGATCACTGTTTTTAAACAGTCTTCACTACTAGGTCATGACAGATTTATGTATAAGCTTTTATCCCCATTGGCTGCCCTGGGTATTACGTTGGTCTTTGTGTGTTTTTTACTGGTAGTAATTAGTTCCAGAATATCCTTTCAAAAATTCCCCTCTCCTTCCAGTGCATCTATAATTGCCCCTCACATCTAAAAATCAATTTACTTTCATTAACATGAACCTGCACAGTATCTAATCCTAGATTAGCATTTCCAGAGCCCCCGGAGTGTCCAAAAATACTACCTGTAATTTCGTTGCTATAATGTGACGGTAAAATAGAATTTTAATCACATGCTGAAGGCAAATAAATGTTTATGCCACTAGAGGGTCTCAGCTATGTACCTGTGAACGAAGTTAGGATTAGAAATGTGCATTTAGCTTGTAGCACAAAGGATCTTATTTTACTTAAATTTATTTTCCACTGGTGCTACAATTTTTACTCACCCACTATGGCTATTTTCAGTAGGATTTACACATTTTAAAATGTAAACAAAAGTGTGTGAGCATCTCAAAGGAAATTTTAGCATCCCAATAAGTTAGATGTAAGGGTTTACCTGCAGATAACTGCAGCAAACTTCTACCAGTATTTCAGCTACCCAAAAATATTTGGGGTGTTTCTTCATTCCTGTGTTAGATTTGCTAACCTTTTCTATACCAGACAAATGCTAACCAGTCTGTAAAACAATCTATAGTGGTTTTGCTTTGTTCAGATAGCAGAAAAATCAGGATAAGTGCTTACAGAACATTTAATTATAAATCCCCATCCAGGTCTTGTCTATTGTTCTAATTCTCCCTTAACTCTTCTCCATTTCAACCCAGGACCAGGATCTCATCTGGTGAAAAACAGTGAAAATCCACTGCATCCATTTGTACCAGCTAGACTAACTAAAAAATATCCATGGAGCAGCCTAACTGCTGAATGCTTCAGAGCAGAGAATATTGTAAGATTCTGCAAGGCACTCAGGGGATTTAGACACAATTTTAAATGACAGTTTATGTCCTAGTCAGACTAAGGAAATATTAACCCATCATTTTCTGGGAGGCTATGGGCAGAACCATACCCTTTTGATTTGATGTTATTTGATGTAAATCAGAAGCTTAAATAGAGTTAACTTTGTCCTACTCCTTTCTCTAATCCTAAAACAGAAATTAATCTTGTGTATCCCTTGTTCTGATCAGAGACATTCTGCTTGTGAAGGATGGGAAATTCAAGCATGGCAAGTGCTGGCTCTGTGCTGCAGCATCCAGGGTTAGATTATGCCATGGACTGGAATATGGCTGTAATTCCAGCCTGAGGGGAGAATGAGTATGTAACTCCATTGCTCACGAGTGTCATCCTTCACTGCATGCCTATAGCCATGACACAGACTAAAAATGGGACGTTATACCCCATTCAGAGTTATTCAGAGTCCAATCTCACCTCTCTGGGCCATATGGGACCCAGGGGAATTCAGTACCTGTTTGTCTCTACATACCCAAATCCAGAATATGAGACACCTGAGGGGAGAGGTTGCAAAGAGGAATTAGGAAATCCCTACTGCTGTCACCATACGGTGCAAGCACACTGCTTGGTGATAAGCAGCATGCTGCAGAATTCCTAACACCCATCAATTCAATTGCTCCATTTAATGGGGGAGAAAAGCATGGCCTGGTTTAAAGTAGGATTGCAGCAGGCTTTGTACATGGCCCCTTGTAGAAGACAAAACTTAGAAAAATGAAGGGGGGCACATGTAAAAGGCTTTGATACTGCCCACATCCTTTCATACTGCCCACATCCCTTCATACTGCCCACATCCCACTGGAATGGCAAGGCTTGTGCAAGGAAAGAAGCCTCACAGTAATATAATTGCATATGAAATAATTGAAAATTTCATTTTTAACTCAGTGAATTTTTTGTTTCATTCCCAAGAGCTGCAGAGTAGATCCTGTAAATATCCTCATTGTATTCCTATGAGAAAAAGGTTAATTCTTCACTTTGTGAGAAAAATCAAACACAGTATCATCTCAAGAAGCCTTCAAGGTCATCTTCATGCTCGGGTCACAAAACAAACCCTATATATTCTTTTATTTTATGCTGTACCAGGCAATGTTCCTGCATTTTCCCATGTCTTTAAATTTATTTTTTTCACCTCTGAAACCAGTAACCAATACACCTTTTGTTTGAAGGCTCCCACTTATTTCTCTTAGTGATTTTCTGTTTGTTTTGGCTTCAGGCAGAAAATGTCTTCAGTTCTGCTCTATGCCACAGTCAAGGTCTGGAAAGATAATATTTAATAAGGGCTTGAATAGAAAAGGTATTCCAGCTATTTATCCCAAGGAAATCTTTTCTCCTTCAAAAAGGACAAATATTAATTTTGCTGAGAATTTCCAAGGCTATCTGACAAAGTCCTTCCTGAACAGACTATAAGTCCTTTTCACATGCAGAATTTCCTCATTAAAAGAGAAAAGGTCACAGAAGCTGCATTGCTGTCATATTTTGACATTCCAAGTGTATCAGGGTGTCACGCACAGGAATGATGATGAGTGTCTGGTTGAAGCCCTGGTTGTCCTTGATGTTATGTTATATGTAGAGCCAGACCAACACTTCACAGAAATGTTTAACAGCTGAGCTTTCATAATCTCTTATGGTAACCTGTCCAGCCTCACACAGAACCTGAGTACAGACATTGGAAGTTGCTTTAAAGCTTTACAGATCAAAGCATTTTCTTCTGTCATTAAAGTCTCACAGTTTCAGCTGTTACTTTTCCATGTTCTTGTTTATTTGTCTTTTTTTCCCATAAACCACAACTTTTTTATGCATCACAGATCTACTTTAACAATTCTCTCATATTCTTCCAGGAATGTTCTGTGCAGAACAGCTCAGGTAATACTTGCAGAGCCTATAATAAAACCAGATGATTTGCATATTTTGAATGATGTCAGGCTGGGGGTTCCTTTACCAAATTCTTCTTTTGGCCAGCCAGGGAACAAGATTTTATTTCACACAATTTCAAGTCAGGGAAGCTTGTCCTTCACCCATTTAAGCATATAAGTGCATCTTATTTGTCCCTGTGAGACATCACAGTCCCTAAATTCTAGAACAATGTTTACAACTGGGGGGGTTGTTTGTTGTTTTGGGGATTTTTTTTTTTGCTGGTTAGAAGTTTTTTGGTTGTTGCTGCTGCTTTTCTCAATTTCAAGGCATCAAACTTTGATAAACACAGGATTTAGTTTAAAACAATTCACTATAGATGAAAAAGAGTACATAAAGTGAAATTCCTGTAGTCTGATAGCAGATTTATAGGAGATTTTAGACTGGATTTAAGGACAGAAGAAAGCATAGAAGAGAGAGAGTAGACAGAATAAGACACCAAAGGAACATTTTGTGAAATTAACTTTCCATCTATGTTGTTAAAACATATGATTTTCTCAGCATAGAATATGTAGCAGCTTTCAGTTTGGGTTTGTGTAACTTATGAGAAACCATCATCTATACCAGAGGAAATATCCTAAGAACTGTGAGGCAGGAAAAGAACAGCAGCACCTACAAAGAAATTGGACCAGAAGACAGCAACTATTTGTGGTGCTCAAGAACCTTATTTAGGATTGACCAGCCTTGGCAGCTCTTTTAATTTTACCATGTTAACACAAAAAGCAGGACTGCACCAAGTAAATTTGGTAGAAACACCAAGTTTGGAATCAGAGATGACATAGCAGATGACTGCACAATTAAGCAGTGAAACTTTGAAAGCCTAAGGTAGAATAAAAGAAAAACCTGTCATAAAAGACAAAATCAAGGTCACCATAACAATAATTTTCACTGTGGCTTAGGACATAGCAAATTGTGTTGTGGGTCTATAGAAAGGAGCAGGCAGTGCATTTGAAATGCAAACAAAAGAAAATCTACTGCTCTGTGAGAGTTCTCAGGCTGAATTCACATCTACTTTCTACAACCTCTGGACAATTTTGTTGCTATAAGTGTCTATTCACCAGGGCAGAATTGCTCTGTATTCTTTAAAAGCACTGGGGAGGATAGTAAACTCCAGGGCAGGAAAACACATACTTAGAGAAAGGAATAATGAAAGAACAAATTCACTTTGGGCAAATTTGGGATGGAAAGTAGAACATTTCTAGGTTGGAGGGCAACAAATTGCCCCTTGTAATTGCTTGCCTTTTGAGCAACCAGTGTATTATTATAGGAGATAAAAACATCCATGTGGACTGATTTCTTGCTTGGTTTCAGGAGGTTCCTTTCCATTCTTCATCAACACAGTCTTCAGACTGTACTCACTCCTACTTGAAAATAACTCCACTATCACCGTTTTCAGTAGTGATCCCATTGATAATAGGAAGATGGAATTCAAAAGATAGAATTAAAATTTCTATACCTGCACACCCACACGCATGGGCACAGCTCACACTCAGTCTTATTATGTTTGTAGTATTCTTTGTCATTTTTCAATGGGGAGGTTGTTGCACTAGTGCCTGTGAAGATTTACTACAACAGCACTTAAATATTTGCC